GCTGCCCGTTTGTTCTAGGAGGCGACTGGGACACTGATGCAGAGCAGCTGATTGCATCCCAAAGGGCAGATCACCTTGGGGCGACAGTGGCCAGGCCCCCAGGAGCGACGTGCCACAGTAACTGTTGCGATTTTTTGCTGTCAGCCGCTGTCTAGAATATCATGTTAAGGAGTGCATTGAGCAGCCTGACACGCCAGTTGGGCCGAATTCTGCAGTTGTGCTTCAACTTAAGCAGGTGGCGGGACAGGCCAAAGTTTGGCAGCGCGTGGCGCCTCGCAGTTTCCTGCTGCCCAAGGGCGAAGAGGAGAGGGCCCGCATGCAGCGGGGCCCCAGCCAGCAGCCGCCCCTCTTTGATTGGGCTGCTCTCTCGCCCCACGCAGCGATGGAGCAGTGGTTCGACGCTGCGGAGTCGGCTCTTGGCCGCCTTCATGGGCTAGACGACAAGCAGCTGTTTGGCCGAGCCAAGGGTTGCCAGGTTCAGTTAGTGCCGCTAGAAGCAGCGTGGGGCCAGGAGCTGCGCCGGCGCTCCCTTCCTGGTACCCAACGCTGGTAGCCTTTGAGGCGTTTGACCTTGCAGTATATGAAGGCGGCGACAGACGGCCGACGGCGGCGCCTGCTAGAATCGGCCAGGCCACTGCAGGACCTGCTGGAGGAGGTTGAGGAACCTCGGCTCGCGCGACTGACGGTGGCTGAACTTTTTTATGGCCTAGAGGGTCCCAGTCGCGCTGACTTAGTGAATGCCATTCAGCGTGTAGTTGACAGTAGAGCGCAGCAGGAGACAGCGGAATGCCGAAAGAGATGGAGATCGCGGGCTCAGTCGGCGGTCGGTCGTGGAGGTCGGGCGGCTCACAAGTACTCGAAAGGCCCCGCTCAGCCTCCTTTGCCAGTCCTTGATGACGAGGATTTCACTGAGCAAGTAGGAGGTCCCAGGCCGCTTGTAGGGCAGGCGGCACTTGATCGCATTCTGCGTGATTGGATCCCGATCTGGACCAACCCAGCGCGTGACGCTGAATGCCCCCCGAGTGGGTGGTCGGTCCCTGAGGACCTGCCGCTGATCACGGCTGATCAAGTGCTTGAAGCGGCGGCGTCTTTTAGCCCCTCGACGGCCCTGGGCTGGGACTCCTTCAGCCCGCGTCTCCTTCTTCAGCCCCCCAGGCCTCTGGTGGAAGCTTTTGCGGGGATCCTAACGGCTTGGGAGAGGCATCCTGTGGGAGGGCCCCTCTGGATGGTCTTGGTGGTCTTTCTAGACAAGCCCACGGGAGGGGTGGGGCCCATAGGGCTGCTTCCCCTCTGGGTCAGGGTCTGGAGCCGCATTCGGCATCGGCTCTGTGCGGCATGGGAGCGAATGGTGGATGCGACTTTTTTTCTGGGGTCTCAGCTCGAGCACGGCTTGCGACAAGAGTGCGTGGGTCCACAATGCGCTGAGCGCCTACGCACGCACCGTCCCAGGTCTGTCCACGGCGACACTTTCTCTTGACCTGCGCAAATTTTACGAACATATTTCCCATGAAGAGCTGCTGGCAGCGGCCCAGGCTAGCTCATTTCCGATAGCGCTCGTGCGAGCGTACTGTTGCCTTTATCGATGCCCGAGGCGGGTGACTTGGCAGGGCGCGATCAGTCGAGTGATCCAGCCAAATGGCACGGTCATTGCAGGCTGCCCGGGGGCAACCACTTTTGCCAGGCTGCTGCTGCTTGGAGTGCTGCGCAAGGCCATGGTTGGCAACCCGACTGTGTGCATTAAGAACGTCATTGACGACATCTCGTTGCATGCAGTCGGTGGGGAGACAGTCATCACGCGGGAGCCGGCAGCTTCGTTTCGGTCTGTGACGACGAACCTGCAGCGCATGGGCCTGCCCATTGCCATGAATAAGCTTGGCCTGCTGGCTTCCTCCTCGGCGCTGGCACATGAGCTGTCCAGGCAGTGTGATTTGCCTGCCAAGGTGCGCGCCCAGGTTCACAGGGACCTTGGCGGTGACGCCACTGACGGCGCCAGGCGGCGCGTGAGCACCCAGCACGAGCGATTTGTTGAGTCCCAGCAGAAAGTGGCGAAGGTCCTAGCGCTTAGAGCGGCTGGGGCTCAGGGTGGCACAATTTTTAGGGCAGGAGTCACGTCGAAGGCCATCCGGGGAGCCAACATCCAGGGCCTCCCCAATGGCGAGCTGAAACAAGTTCGCCTTGCCGCGGTTAGGGCGGAAGGAAGGCTCCCCAAAGGATGCTCCCTTGAGTTGGCCTCGATGTGTGTGAGGGGAGGCTGGGTTCGGGATCCCTTGGTCATCCTAACGGCCGATGCCCTCCGCACCTACAGCCAGATCCTCAAGGATCAACGCCTGGCACCTATGGTGGTGCAGTCCCTTTTTTCCAGTGGCCAGGAGTTGCTTCAGTTGTCCAGGCCTTGGGCCCGCGTTAGAGACCCCATTGCGGCCCTCCTTCTGACGCGTTCCCGCGTAGGCCTGGTTTTTGAGAACCCGTGGACCCTGAAGGAGGCCACGGGGGAGGTTTGGGATCTTCGCCAGGTCTCCCCAGCGTTCCTGGCCAGGAGGGCCCGATTCGCTGCTCGACGTTTCTCGGACAAGGAAGGATTGGCCAAGATCGACCGTGGTCAGGGCTGGTCTGGTGATTTTTTTTGGCGGCCCTTGAACGAGTTTCTGCATAGACGCTGGAAGCTTGAGGGGGATGGCGGTGGGTTTGACGGGCGGTGGGGGATTCGGGAGCAGAGGACTCTCCGAGGTCTCGTGATTGGCTCGCATTGGTGCCAAGCGCGACTTCACAAGCATGACCCTGCCTTGCCGTCGCACTGTCTCCTTTGTGGGGAAGCTATCGGCAGCCTGTTCCATCGCCATTTTGATTGCCCAGCGAGGCTAGGCTGGGGTCGAGACAATCTGCCGCAGGACCTGGTCTGCCCAGTGCAGCGGTTGCGAGCAGGGCCAGCGCACTTGCAAGAGAGGCTCGCCAGGGGGATCCTTCCCGACCCTTGCCAAGCTTTCTCCCGACCTGGGTGAAACCCTGAGTGGGAGTTCAAGGTTGAAGGACAAGCGGCGCCTCTGGCGCTCGATGGCGGCCATGTTGTTTTGCGATGGCTCGGGGGTCGATGGTCTCTTCCCGTCCTTTAGGGTTGCTGGTTGGGGCGTGGCGGTTTCGACCATGATCGCCGACCCCTGGCGGGGTGGTATGGGGCGGTCCCCCCACACCAAGGCCCCGACCAGGTAGCCAGAGACGGGGGGGATTACGCCATCCTGATGGCTTTGAGACATCTAGTAGACAGGTACACGATTTATTCCGATTGCAAAGGCACAATTAAATGCTGTCAGAATGCCAGATGTGCGCAGAGAGATGGCGACACTCGGGCACACATCTGGAAAGAAGCATTCCATGAAGGAACGCCCGGTCTGGTGAGTTTCTGCTAGGTGGCGGCCCACACGTCAATGACCGATGCGCGCGAAGGGCGGATCAGCCACTTTGAGAGGGAGGGCAATGCCGAAGCTGATTGACTTGCTAAGTTGGGTGCGGAGCTATGTCGTTGCCCGTCCAATGTGGTCATGATGTTCAAAGGCATGTCGCACGCCTGCTCCTTCAGTTCATTAGTAGGGCTGAAGGCCAATATGCGCAAGAAGGCAGGTGGGACAATGTTGGAGCCCAGGGGCTCACAGATATCTCCCTGGAGGGGGGGTCCGACTTTGAGGAGGCCCTTGAGGCGGTGAGGAGGCAGGAGGAGGGAGGTGACGAGGGTGCTGCTGCGCCTGCTCCTCCTCCCGACGCTCCTCAACAGCCCTCGAGACCTCCATCTGAGCCCTTGGTGCCCGAGCTGCTGGCGCTGGCAGCGGATGCTCGCCAGACCCCTGCCTTCATCGGAGGGCATGTGTTGTTGCAATTCGCGGTTGAAGGTAACCAGCCTCCCATCCTTTTTTGTTCGACCTGCGGGGGGCTATGCCACGGTGTCTGCGGGCTCCAGAGGCCTGCGTAAGGGCTGCGGAGGGCCCCAGCAGGCATTGGTGGACCCAGGCAGGAAGAACTCTCGGGCAGTCTGCAAGGGCAAGCACCCCAACAGGCCTCTCAAACTGGGCTCTTGGCGTACTCCTGGGGCTTGGGCGCGAGAGCTGGCGGGGGGGGGGGTCTCGGAGTCCAAGAAGGCCCAGATGGGAGCTGGAGGCTTGTCCAGAGCCATTTCGGACCATCCTGCACGTGCATTTTTGTGCCTGGCTGATGTCCTGCAAGCGTTTGGACTTAATGAGTTCGAAGCCGCTGAGTTGGGACTGAGGCTACGTGAGCGAGGCCCAGACAATGATCTGGAGGAAGAAGAACTGGGCGGTTAGATACCCAGGGGGGGGCCCTGTCGTTGGCCCCTGGCAGGTCTTTGGCCTTCCTGCCAGGGTGACACAAAGTTCCCCTCTGATGGCCCCCCTGGGTTTTTAGGACCGTCGGACTTTCTCCCCCCCCCCTTTCCCCTCAGTGGCGTGCGATCCTCCTGCTCCTCCTCCTCTTCCTCTTCCTCCTCCTGCTTCTTTACCTCTTCTTCAGTGCACGCACTGATTGGGGAATCTAGATTTCCAAATCCATGCATCCCAGCGTAAACTGCCGCGGATGATGGAAGCTCACAGATTGTCGCGGGGAGTTGTTGGCATCAGCTTGTCACACAGCAAGCCCCCTCCTCCCGCTTTCCCTCCCCCCTCTCTTGCACGTGCCTCCGTGCCTCTCCTCCTCTTCTTCCTCCTCCTCATCGTTCCTTAGCCACCTCTCCCTCTCCCACCGCCTCCTTCTCATCCTCCTTCATCCTTTTCCTCCCTCCTGATCCGCCTGCTCCTCATCATCAGCATCATCATCATCGACAGCATCACTATCATCATCAGCAGCAGCAGCAGCATCACCATCCTCTCTCGCGTCCTGCTCTTTCGCCTCCTCCCTCGTCTTGCCTCGGGCTGGCGCAGTGGGCGCTCATTGGCAGGGCATGCACAAGTGTTCCATTCTGCCTCGCTGCAAGCCCCTGACCGCCGAAGCCCGCGCAGGCCGTTGAGAGCCCGGTGGGCGACGGCCGAGCGGTCTGATCACCGCTCCTCGGAGGCAGCCTGTGGCGGGGTGCGGGAGGGGGAGGAAGAGGAGGAGGAGGAGGAGGAGGAGGAGGAAAAGGAGGAGGAAAAGGAGGAGGAAAAGGAGGAGGAGGAGGAGGGGAGGAGTGGAAGAAAAAAAATGTCTTGATCATGCATCTTCCGCCTCCCCACCACCGCCCTCCTCTCCCTCTCTCTCGGGTTCTCTCTCTCTCTGCCCTCCTCTCCCCTATCCTCCCTCCCCCTCCTCATCGTCATCATCCTCCTTTCACTGGTCCTCCTCTATTTCCTTATCCTTCTCATTATTTTCTTCGCTCCTCCCTTCTTCTCATGCGCCTCATCCTCATCATCATCCTTCCCTCTACCATCCTGCTTCCCCGGCAGACCACCGATCGCGCCCCCCCATGACGATGACTGATAATTGCCTCCTCGTCTGAGTGGGACAGCCTGTGATGGTCGAAGGGCCCGAGGCGGCAAGCTCTCGAAAGAAGGGAGAGGCGAACGAGCGGAAACGAGAGAGCGGGGGGTAGGGAGGGAGGCAGGAGGCGTGTGAGTATTTCACACATATGGCACGGCATCTAGGGGTGTTCCTTCGGCTAATCGACTAGTGTATCAGATCCACTGCAGCCTGCAAGCCAAAGCGGAACACCCCAGAACACGCACGGAGAAAGGGTCATGTGATGAGTGCGTTCGTGAGCGTCCAGGCCGAGCTCCGCGCGGTCGCTGCCGGCGCTCTCGCGCCCGGCCGTGCCTTGCGTGCCTGTGCGCGCCAGCCCGCGAACTCGGGGCCCGCAGCTTTCCGGGGCTGCACTGCCTACGGATGGGCTAGGCCTGGTTGGTGTTGTTGGCCCAACCCTCATCCTCCTCCTCCTCCTGCTCCTCCTTCTTCTCCTCCTCTTCCTCCTTCTCCTCCTCCTCTTCCTCCTCCTTCTCCCCCCTCTCCTTCCCCTCACTCCTCATCCTCCTGCTCCTCCTCCTCCTCTTCTCCTCCTCCTCTTCCTCCTCCTCCTCTTTCTCCTCCTCCTCCTCATCTTCATCCTCCTCCTCCCCTCCTCCTCCTCCTCCTCCTCCTCCTCCTCCTCCTCCTTCTCCTCCTCCTCCTCCTCCTCATCCTCATCCTCCTCCTCCTCTCCCCCAATCAGGCCACTCCCAGGGACGGCTGCGCCTGCCCGCCGTCCCTGGCCGCACCGCCCGCGTGCGCCAGGCGGTGCTCGGTCTCTGGAGCGACAGGCCGTGCCGTGCCTTTAGAAGGCACGCTTGCTGTTGGCCCGTGCCGTGTCGCCCGGATGCCATGCATGCCGTGCCGCGCCGTGGCCGTGCCGCGCTCGGCTTCCAGGGGGAAAGAGGAACGCTCCGCGTGGCGTGCCGTGGCCGCGTGCCGTGCCGTGCTGTGTGTTTGAGGCTGTCGCCCTAGGAAGTGCGCATGGTAGCGGAGCGAGGTTAGCATGGAGCGATGCACGGAAGCACATATACATGGATCATTTCTAAGTATTCGAAAGTTCTTCGATTTTTGTTTGGGGGGCAAGATCCTTTCATTTCTAATTGTTCTATCCTGGGCCTCTTCCTGGCCACTAGGGGGCCAGGAACAATTAGAAACGAGCACAATTAGAAATGAGCGCGATTAGAAATGAACAACGTGTATCCCTGTCAGCAGTGAAGAATGGCACGCGTCAACCCTTGAACCTTTCTCCGGCACGTGCAGAAGTGCAGCAGGCAGTGGAGAGCGCAGATTCTCCAAAACAACAGCCCAGGCCACCCTTGAAGGCTCCGTTGACTACATCAAACGAAGACTGAACAACACCAGAAGAATCAGCCTCGGCGTCATAAAAAAAACGAGGAAGGCAGGTGAGGGCCCGAGGCTGGGGGCAAAGGCCGAGTCTGAGCCCAGCGGCCACAGTAGCCAGGGGGGGGAGGCGTTTTCTCGAGCTGCGGCGCAGCTGCACCAGGCCAGGGAGACGTCAACCCAGCACAGGGCACGACGGCCAAGGCGGTGCTACCAGCCAAGGCAGATCCACAGCCAGGGTCGTCGCAACACGGCTCCACGCTCGCAATTCTCGCTTGTTTTAGGGAGGACAGGCAGCCCTTGTTCATGTGTTTCATTTCACACCGACCGCGCCTTCATCGCCTAGCCCTTCCCCGAGACTCCTCCCAACATGTTTGATCGCGCGTTGTTCTTTCATCAGCGTGCGCCGGCTTGCTCCTCAGACAATGAGCAAGCAGACCCAGCTATAGCCTGAGGCTTCGGCTCTCGAGGACTTCGCATGGCTACACGTGCTGGCCGTGCTCTTGCACACGCCGGGCACGCCAAGCCAGAGAGAGGAGGGAGGGGTGTGGTAGGCACGGTGGCATGCATATGGAGCCGTGCTCACGTGGATATGCAAGCAACCGATGGAAACCTTCAGCTCACAACAGTTAAGGTACGTCCGAGCCTGAGAAAAATACCGTAGCGGGGATCTGAATGTGAATTTAAGGCGGCCTGCCCATGGAGCGATTCTCTTGTGTCGTCTCTCCTTGGCCCTTCACGATTCATCTGCAAGCGGAGGGAGGGTAGGGAGGAGGGGAGAGGGGGGGGGGGAGGCGGATGGGGGAAGTGAATGCCCGGTGCCAGCCGATGTGTCTAGCCGATGCCCAGCCCTTGGCCGTGCTCCCCGAGCGTGGTGCCGGCTCCCGCGAGGGCGGCGGCGCGCACCGGAGGCCAGCGCGGCGGCGCCCGCCGACCCCTCGGCGAAGTTGCTCGGGGACTTCCTGGACCAGGCCAGACCGACGACGGATAGATTGATGCGGATGGTGATGTTGATAAGGGTGCTGAGATGGTGATGACGATGACGACGACGACGATGATGATGATGGTATGATGATGTTGATGATGATGATGGTGGTGGTGCGGGTGACGATGGTGATGATCACGACGACGATGATGATGGTGGTGATGATGATGATTGGTCGAATGGTTGCGTGATGATGATGGCGACGATGATGATGACGATGATGCTGGTGGTGGTGTGTATGATGATGCTGATGATTAGAATGGTGGTGACGGTGGTGATGATGGTTATGATACCGAGTGTGGCGATGATGGTGTTCAGAATGATGACAACGACAAGGATTATGATGAACATTATAATGATAGTGATGATAGTGATGATGACGATAACGGTGATGATGTTGATGTTGCTGATGATTATGATGCTGCGGGTGATGATGGTGATGATAATGACGTCGACAACGATGATGATGGTGATGACGATGATGGTCAGTGCGATGGTTGTGTAATGATGGTGGCGATGATAATGATGATGGTTTTGCTGGTGGTGATGTTATGATGATGATGGTGGCGATTTGGTGGTGGTGACGGTGATGATGATGGTGATGATGACAACGATCGCGATGATGATGATGATGATGATGATATTAGTAATGATGACGATGATGATGCTTTTGGTGATCATGACGACGATGATGATGCTGGTGATGATGGTAGTGATGATGATGGTGATGGTGTTGATGATTATGCTGCTGTTGCTGATGATGAGTCTGGTGATGATGATGCTGATAAGGATGATGATGGTGATGCGGGTGATGATAGTGATAGTGATAGTGATGGTGACGACGACGACGATGATAATGATGATGGTGGTGGCGATGGTGATGATGATGGTTAGCATTCTGGATGTGTGATCATGGTAGCGATGGCCATGATTTTGACGATGATGGTGGTTGTGCCTTTGATGATGATGATGATGGTGATGATGATGATGCTACCGATTATGGTGGTGGTGACAGTGATGATGAGTATAACGATTGGGATGGTGATGATGTTGATGATGCTGGTGGTTATGACGACGATGATGACGACGATGATGCTGATGGTGATGCTGTTGATGCCGATGATGTTGATGGTGATGTTGTTGATGCTTATACTGGTGCTGATGCGTCTGCTGCTCATAATGATGAACATGATGAAGATGATGGCGATGATCATGGTGAAGTGGGAGATGATGGTGATGATGATGACGACGATGATGATGATGATGTTGGTCGTGATGACGGTGGTGATGGTTAGTCTGATGGATGTGTGACGGTGGTGGTGTTGATTGTGATGACGATAATGGTGGAGGTGATGTTTATGATGATGTTGCTGATGGTGGTGATGCTGATGTTTATGGTGGTGCTGCCGGTGATGATGGTGATGCGTATACCGATTGTGGTGGTGATGATTGTTTTGATGGTGTTGATGATGATGCTAACAACGAGGATGAATATGATGTTGATGATTATAGTAGTGATGGTGATGATAGTGATGATGTTGGCGATGCTGATGCTGATGCTGGTGATGATAGTGGCTATGGGGATGAAGAAGATGATGATGATGACGTGGACTACGATGGTGATGGCGACGATGACGACGACGATGATGTGAATGTTGGTGCTGATGGTGGCAATGATCAGTACGATGGGTGTGTGACGATGGTGGCGATGATGATAATGACGATGATGGAAGTGGCAATGTATATGATGGTGGTGGCAATGGTGATGCTGATGATTATGGTGGTGGTGATGGCGATGATGATAGCAATGATTATAACAAGTGTGATTGTGATAATGATGATGAGGATGCAAATGATGATGGCGACGAAGATGATGGTGATGATGATAGTGATGCTAGTGATGATGGTGATGCTGTTGATGAATTTGCTGGTGCTGCTGCTGATGGTGATGATGAACCTGATGATGATGATGGTGATGGTGATGACAACGACGATGGTGATGATGATGGTGGCGATGATGCTGGTAGTATGGTGGTTGTGTGATGGTGGTGGCGATGATGATGATGATGACGATGGTGGTGGTGATGCTTATGATGGTGATGGTAATGGTGGTTGTCGTGGTTATGACTGTGATGATGATGGTGATGAGCTTAACATGTGAAGTGATGATGATGATGATGAAAACGTTGATGATGATGATGATGATGATGATGATGATGGTGATGCTTAGGATGATGGCGACGACGGTGATGATGATGATGAAGACGATGATGAACATGATGATGTTGATGATGATGATGTGAACTGATGATGGTGATGAACATGATGGTAGTAGTGATGATGGTGATGATGTTGATGCTAATGATGCTGACGTTGCTGCTGATGATGATGATCACGACGACGACGATGATGACGACGACGATGATGATGGTGGTGACGATGGTGTTTGTGTGACGATGGCGGCCCCTGATGCTGATGATGGTGACTGTGATGGTGGAGGTGATGTTTATGATGGTGCTGATGATGGCGATGCTGATTATGCTGATGATGTGGTGGCGGTGACGTTGATGATGATGGTGATGACTATACCGATTGTGATGATGATGGTGAGGATGACGATGCAAATGATGACGACGATGGTGATGATGATGGTGATGTTGTTGATATTGATAGTGTTGCTGATGATAATGATGGTCGTGATGGTGATGGTGATGCGGGTGGTGATGGTGATGACGATGATAGCAATGCAAGCGTTTTTGCTGCCAGGGCGACTGCAGAGTGGGCCTAAGGGACTTTGAACCCCTGCTGTAGCCTCGGATGCTGGGCGCGTTGGGCCTACATGCCGTCGGAATCCCTGTAAAGGTTACCTGTTCTTGGGCAGGAATGAAGCTCATAGGGCTCACAGCGCTCATATGGGCCCAGGTTTTCTGGCGCTCTTGTGGCAGTGCGAGGACGGACATGTTTCGGCAGAGGAGTAAGAGCTGCATGAACAGAAACTGTTCGCGCCAGAGACGCCCCCAGGGACCTACAGAAGCGCTTGGGCACCTTAGGGCCTTCAAAGATCGACGAAGAATGTGCCCTAGGATTTGTCATTTCACGATTTATTATCGTATATGTCTACTGTAGGGGTCAAGGTTTTTCTGCGTATTTGGAAGAGCGAGGATTGCGATGCTGAGAGGTTCTGTACATGTCTGGGCCTCTGGCAGGCTCCACAAAGCTCGGGGGGGCTCTGGAAACTTCTGGAGGCCTCCAAGGAGAGTTCTGAGGGGCCTCCGGGAGGCTCCGAGGACCTTTTTGGACATTTTTGCGGGCTTCTGGGTACATCTGGGAGCGCGAACGGGCGAACGGAGGAGGACGGCTCTCCTCCTTCCCCTTATCCGCCTCCCTCCACCCTCCCACCTTCCACCCTTCCGCCCTCCATCCATCCTTTGGCGTAAGGCCAGCCTTGGCTTGAATGAGCAAGCTGCCTGCGCCGCGATGCCCCAGGGCTGCAGCATACGTGTGCTCACTTGATCACCGATGTTTGGGTTTCTCCCTCACGTTGTTCCTCATCGTTGAACGTGAGGGTATGCTACGTGAAGCGTGCGTGTTCATCCTCGTCTGCGTTGGCGGCTTGGCATGCACCTGGTTATGATTGTCCGCAGTGGCTATCGCCGCAGTGCATATTGGACTACCCTCGTGGATTTGCGGCGCTGGCGGCTTGGGCGACGGCGCGGGTATTTGCGTCTTTGCGTTATCTCTACAGGTTGCGGGATGTCATGCGTGTTTTCCACCATCTCTGTGTTGCGGCGATATTTTAATTACGCGTCCTCATCCCCGCAAGGTACATTACAGACCGGGCCGATATTCATTTCCAGTGTCGTGGGATGTCATTCGCGCCGTGGTTCGCTGTGTGTTTTTAATGTGATTCTCGAGATGGGCTTCGCTGTAAATACACTCGTGTATGGCGTTGGCGAAGGTGTGGCGCAGCATTGCTGCCGCAAGATGTTCGGAGTCTTCCTCAAGGTCTTCGTGGTGTTCGTGCTGGCCACGCCCGCTCATAGCTGTTCCCCATGTTTAAAACAATTGAGCCCTCCTCGAGATTGGGAGGAAGGGTGCCGCAACGCGCCCCTGGGATCGGCAAGGCGTGAGGGTATCAGCCTGAAATGCCTGGCTGCTGCTCCGGGGGGAGGGGGGGGGGCTGTGCTCGGGAGCAGGCCGCAGCACCGCTCAGCGATGCGCTGTGCACCAAACCTCGCACGTTGGCCCTTTTCGCAGGTCCGCGCTTCGGTGCGAATCGTCAGCGTGCCTCGTCTCCGTTGTCGGCGTCGTCGGCGTCGTCGCGGTCGTGGTGCACGTTGTTCTGTTCAGGGCTTGCTTCCCCTGCGCACCGACCACCACCAGCCCACCCCCTTTTCCTGTTCCACCTTCCTGTTCCTCCTTTTCCCTCCCCGTCGTGCTCCTCGTCCCCCTCCCCGTTGTCCTCCCCATCCCCCCCCCCCTCCCCCCCCATCCCTCTTCCGTGTCCATATTGGTTCAAGTCGTATGCCGTCCCCTGCCTCACCCTTCCCCTTTTCATACCCTCCCCCTCCTCCCCCCCCATCCCCTCCCCCTCGACATTCTCTTCCCCCTGTTCTTCCCTCCTCTTTGTCCGAACGTTCCTCCCTCTCTTCCTCTCCCCCTCATCATCGTCCAACATATGTGTATGTTTGCATATTTGTTTCGCTGTCTTCTCTTCTCACTATACGACTTATGTTGCTTCCTCCTCCTCCTCCTGCTTCGATGTCCTCCTCGTGATTCCTAGTTCCTGATTCCTCACGGCTGCAAAGTCGTTCCTCCTCCTCGTCCTCGTCATCTTGCTCCTCATCCTCCTCCTCCTGAGCTACGTGCGCTCCTCCCCCTCCTCCTCCTCCTCCTCCTCCTCCTCCTCCTCCCCCTCCTCCTCCTCCTCCTCCTCCTCCTCCTCCTGCTCCTCTACATCATCATCAGCATCACGATTCCCATCCTCACCCTCACCCTCGTCGTCATCATCGTCCTCCTCCTCCTCTTCCTCCTCTTCAGCATCATCATCATCATCATCATCATCATCATCATCATCATCAGCAGCAGCAGCATCATCATCATCATCATCACAATCAGCATCATCGTCATCATCACCATCGTCGCCATCATCACCATTACCAACATCAGCATCATCATCATCACCATCATCATCGTCCCCATCACCAGCAGCATCATCATCCGGCATCATCAGCATCGTCATCATCATCACCACCACCATCATCATCATCGCCACCAGCATCACCATCATGAGCATCATCTGCATAATCAGCATCGTCATCATCACCATCTAAGATGGTGATGATGACGATCGTCATCATCATCATCAGGCTACCGCCCCGCCCGAGGGTGCGGTGCGATGGCGGAAAGACCTTAAAAAGTGTATGTGTACCGCTTTATTTCCCTCCTTAATCTTCACCGTTACCATCATCATCACCATCAACATCATCATCACCATCATACAGACAGGCAGAAGCCATAGAATACCTAAGTCGTGCGGCAAGACAAAGATCGGAAAGACACATCAGAGTGCGAGAATCGCAGCTCTGTACTGCACGTGGTCTAAAGTTGCCGTAAGTAAACAAGCCGTGCGTCCTGTGGGCGCGTGGGCAATGCAATGATTTTAAAATTATGTTGGTGCGCCAAACGCGTCCTGGATGCAGAACGCCCAACGCGTTGCAAAGACGATGATGTGATGCAAAGGTATGCGGTCAAACATGGAGATGCACCGTTGCGTACACTTCGTGTGCCCACGGCTGTCTTGGGCGGCTTCTGTGCCGGCGAAGAGCCCAATTCCTCGGTGAGCCGCCCGCGTTGCATACGAGTTCCTTCACTCGAGAATTGTTTGGTTGAACAACGATATGTTTGTATAACTTGTTTGTTTGTCGTATACAATCTGCGACAACGGCTTCGAGCCTGCCCTTCCCAAGACGCTTCCATTAGATACGCGCGAGTAGCACGCATGTGGGATACCCATGATGGTCCGCAAACACCTGCAAAGTAAGCGTCTAAGCGATTTTTGTCTTGCCCGCCTTGAGCAGCCAAAGTGAATCTCTCGAGTACAGGAGCTTGCTGACAACACAACTTGAGTAAATATACAACTTCCAGCATTTCCCAACAGAAGCGTACGCCCACACGTTTTGCAGTTGTTTGAATGCATGTGCGCTTTCGCCAATGCGGCGGGACAGCTCGTTCTTTGCCCGCCCATCGCAGGACACGATCCCTCCAAGGTATACGGCTTCCCTGACGGTCTTGATCGGCTGGCCCGTGGTTCTGTGATCGTACCACCACATTCAATCTGGATGCGTAAGACTTGGTCCCAGTTCATTTCAATACCACGTTCTGGTCCTTCCAAAACGATTTCTTCAAGCATAACTTGCAAATTCGACATATGCTTCGAAACCAACAATGTGTCGTCGACGTAGAGTATGTCGCGGGTGACAATGTATCCGGGTTTGCTCTCCAATGCCAGAAGAGCAAAAGCATCATGTAGCAAAACGGTTTGTATTGCAATTAGAAAATATGGTGAGAGGGGGCACCCTTGAGCAATGCCAGCATGATGTTGTCTTTCTGTAGAGCGCCCACAGTGATTTACTATGGTAAAGTACCGCTGAGAAAAAACGGTAACCATTTCCACCATCGGGGCAGGCAGGCCGAATCGTTCGAACGCTTTGCAAAGGCAGTCTGGTTTGAGGCGGTCGAAAGCTTTTGCCCAATTTAGCAGAGACGATGCCATTACATCTCCTTTGTTTTGGTACGCTGCGTTCACCATCCTCCTGTCGAGCATGAGGGCATCTACTGTACCACGTTTTGGACGAAAGCCAAACTGGGATTCCCGGATGCGTCCTTCGGCTTCTCCTTGTAGTAACCGTTTACGCAACATTTTTGCCAAAGCCTTGTACCACACAGCTAGCAGCGAGATGGGGCGGTCGTTGCTTGGGAGCGTGGCGTCGCATTTCTTGAAGAGAAGGGGCACGCTTGTTGATCTCCAAGACTTCGGCAAGCCTTTTGTGTTCCCAACATCTGGCGCACATCTGCAATAGAGCTTCGCATGCATCATCGCTTTTGGCAACAACTTTCCAAAATTCTGGCGGGATATCGTCAGGTCTTGCTGCTTTCCGGTTTCTCATCTTACGTAGGGTCGTTTGCAGTTCCAGCATGGTGAAGTCATTCGTGTCCACGTTGAAGGTTGGTCCCAATGTTTCTGTCGATGATGGCGTCAGTTGTGGGAAGCGAACTTGCCATTGAACCCTTTTCGAAATAATCAGCTAAAGCGTCGGGTCGTGCCGCGGTGTCGGTAAGATGCCCGTAGTCCCTCTGGGATCACGGACGCCACGGGTTCCCGATGGCCGTGAACCCTCATTATGTGCGTAGCGACGGCTTTGTTGCCACTGAAAAGTGTGTCACGCTCCAGGCACGGAATTGTAAGAGGATTTGTGTAGTCGTCGGCAACAACAAATATTCTAGCGTAACGTCCGGGGCGAGACGTTTCCATGTCCACCAGTCGGTGGCTATGATTTCTGTCCATGCGGTTGCTCCTTTTGCTGAGTGGGTCCTCTAACGCATCAAGATCGCACCAAGCTGGCGGCGGCGCGAGCCCAGGAATCGTCTGGAGGTCGGCGAGATTGAGACCACAGGGATGGATAGGCCGAGTGGGGCAGGAGGAGGGCCTGCAGCGCAGAGAAGGGCTTGTAGATCAAGCTGGATATGTATAGCAGGCGGCGCCGCCTGAGTAGATTGTCAATGGAGGGAAGCTGCAATTTCTGAAAAAGTGCAAGATCGCTTAGGCGGGGCTTCCCAGGGATCGGGAAACGGCTCTCATGGGCGATCCTGCGCGCGGCGCGCAGATATAATGTGTGCAGCCATTGTATGTGCGTGCGCGAAGGCGTCCACAGCTCAGAGTTATAGAACAGCACTGAAAGGACGAGGGGAGGGACTGGAAAAGTCGCAACCTGAGCTGCACGCTCATGCATTGCATTGCGAAGACCTTCCACACCAGGCTGTGGTACACCGCGGATGCTCTCCGCAGGCGTGCACGTCATCATCATCAGCATCAGCATCATCAGGCTTTTATTCCTCATCCTGGCCTTTGGGGGGGTGAGTAGAAGTGGCAGGAGGAGGATATTGAGGGAGAGGAGTGAGGAGTACTTAGGAGCTGGAGGTAGAAAAGTGTGAGGAGAAGTGAGAGAAAAAGGAGGATGGAGCAGGAGAGGGGAGGAGGATGTTGGTGGGGACGGCGGCATGGCCATGACAGCCGTGCTCACACGCAGGAAGGGAGAGGGGGGAGGGAGGAGGGGGAAAGGAGCAGGAGAATGAGGAGCTGTTACGGCCGTCTGGCGTGCTTTGACACAGTCGAGTACATATTGTCCCTTGTCTTGCCTCCTCCCGTCTTATTCGGCGACCACAGTTGATGTATGTTCGCAGCTGGAGCAGCAGGAGGGCAGAAGGAGGAGGAGGAGAAGGAGGAGGAGGAGGAGGTAAGGAGAAAAACGGAAGGGGAGAGGAGGAGGAGGAGGAGGAGGAGGAGGAGGAGGAGGAGGAGGAGGAGGAGGAGGAGGAGGGGAGGAGGGGCGAGCCGCCGCAGGACCGCCCGGGCCAGTGAGCGCGCCGCCTGCCCGCTGGCCTCGCGCGCCGTCGGCCGCGCGCGTCGCCATGAAGGAAAGGGGGTCCTGACAGAGAGGGGTCCTGGAGGCGTGAGCTTGGACGTCTCTGGGCTCGCGGGGCCGTCGACCCGGGCTCCCCAGCTCGACCCTGAGATCTAGGCGCGGCACGTTCTTCAAATTGGGCGTTTTCGCCAGTGGTCGGGCCCCGGGAGCGTCACAGATCGATCCGGCGACGCTGCAATGTTTCGCAACGTCGGAGACGGAGGGTCGGTCCTGCGAGGGTCCCCCAGGCCGCCCAGTACCCCCAGGACCCGATTTCCTTCATGCGCGCGGGGGGGGGGGGGGTCGGGGAGGGAGGAGGGAGGACGAGTAAGAGGAGGACGAGTAAGAGGAGGACGAGTAAGAGGAGTAGAGAGGAGGAGAGGAGGAGGAGGAGGAGGAGAGGAGGGAGGAGGAGGAGGGAGGAGGAGGAGGAGGGAGGAGGAGGGAGGAGGGAGGAGGGAGGAGGACGAGGAGGAGGAGGAGCAGGCGAGGAGGGAGGAGGGAGGAGGAGAAGGAGGAGGAGGAGGAGGAGGAGGAGGAGGAGGAGGAGCAGGAGCAGGAGCAGGGAGTAGGGGAGGGGGGGGCGACGCCGCCGGGCGCTGAAACGCGAGGCGCTCGCGGCGGAAAAATTGCCCTGGGGCGCAGGCAACGGGGGTCAGCCCCAGCGGCGGGGGCCGGCCAGTCGCATCCAGTGGCCCTTGGTTGGACCCGGGCCCGGAAGCCCCCCCAGAGCCTGCCCAGAAAGGGCCTCGCCTTCGGCGGACACTTGCTGAAAGCCAGCGAAAGCAAGACGGTGACGGATCTGCTGGCAGAGGGGCCCGCGGTGGGCGGCGGAAGAGCAGGGTGAAGCGTCAACATGTCTTGGATCTGGGGCTTCGGGGTCGGCCGCGTGGAGCCGCCCACTCTGCCTCCCCTTTTCGAGCCGGACGATTGGAGGGGATTGTGAGAGAGGCGGGGGTGACGAAATCTGCTGCATGCAGCCAGTGTCGACCCCGGCGCCCCCCCGCTTGATCCGCCCTCCCTGTTCGTCCGACCCCGCCCCTCCCTCCGCCGACCTGGGTCTGGGAGCTGCCTCGCGACTGGCGCAGGACTCGTGCGAAAGCTGGGGCCGAGAGTTCCGGAGCGCAGGTTTGGCGGTTTGGCAGCCTCGGCAGCCCTGGCAGGCGGGCTGGCAAGGGGGTGGCGCGCGCGCCGCGGCGCTGATGCGACGCCCGCAGGGCCTGCGGGCCAGAGGAGTCCACGGGCAGACCAGTCAGGGCCATCCATCTGGAGGCGGAGGCGGAGCAGATGGAGGAAACGATGGTGAGCTGCATCAGCGGTTTCCGCATGTGGGACGGGGGGAGGGCCATCGTCGCCACGGCCGGGCTCGCCTCGCTCTGGTCGGAACTCGCTCCAGCACAGGCACGGGGCCGATTTTGAGAGGGGGGCAGGCCCTGGCGTCTCCAGGCGCCCTGGAGGGAGTTGCGTGGCATCGTGTCGCTGCCCCCCTGGAGAAGTGCTGCGTTGAAAGAATTCTTGGCGCTTCGTGTCTCCCCGCCAGATTTTCGGCACCGCCTGCACCCCAGGGCCCCGCCCACTCCGGCCGCCTGAGGCCCCGCCTTCCTGTGCCCTGTCTCCCTAATTAAAGCTGTGCGTAGCCCGCCTGGCTTTTAGCGGAAGAGGTTCGCTCTCGCCCCGCAAAAAAGTGTCTCCCCGCCAGCCCATCCAGAAACGAGGCACAGGCGGCTTGCCTTGATCAGGGCAGTGTAGAAGCATGGAATGGAACAAGTTCTGGATCAGCCTGATCAGAGCCTGAACGAGGACGAGAACGAACAGGTGGACGAGGAGGAGGACGAGGAGGAAGAGGAGGGCGAGGAGGACGAGGATGAAGACCAGGAGGAGGGGGATGAGGAGGAGTTGGAGGAGGAGGACGAAGACTCTGGCAGCCGTCGTGGTGTCTTCTTAAGGCCCTCTGAGGATTCTTCGAGGCTCTCTTGGGGTTCTCTTGAGGCTATGTTGGATGGTCTTGGGGTCCCCCTGGGGCTCTTTTGGGGGGTCTTGGGGCTCTCCTCGGAGCCCTCTGACATCTTGGACGTGGAGGGCCTCATGCGGCTATGTTGAAGTGCGTCGGTCAACAGAGGGGGGCCCCCCATATTTCCTCTCCCCGTCTGGGGCCATCAAAATCGCATCTTGGGGTCCTCGCGAGGCGCCCTTGGTGCAATATTAAGCGGTCGTAGGGCCGTCTTGGGTGCTTCTTGGGCCTCTCTTGGAGTTCTCACTGGCCATCTAGAGCCCTCAACCGCATGGGAAGCGAAAAGGCGAGAAGGCACAACTCATTATTTCTCCGTTGGTGTTTGAGGGATTCGGGCCTCGTGGGGAAGCCCTGAGGGCTTCTAGGAGGCATGTCGGAGGCCATCTTGAGCCATCTGAGGTTATCTTGAGCCATCATCTGGGGCGTCTTGGACCATTGGGGGACCCTTTTGGATCCATCTTGGGCCAAGAAGGACCGCCTGACACATCGCCAGGGGGAGGGGGAGGGGGGTGGAGGACAAAAACCTCAAGGATGGAGGGGGGGGCATCCCTCCCTGAAGGGAAGACGGTCTTGGGATGAGGGAAGAAGATGTCAGCCAGCGTGGCCCCCCAAAAGTGAGTTATTGCATTGGAAGTGTGGAAGTGATAGTTATGCGGGGTAAGCTATGCGGTGAAACATCTGTCGGGTAAGTTGCGTGGTGTGAGCTGATGAGGCGAACAGTCTGCGGTGCAAGCTATGTCATGTATGCGAGGTGGTGCGAACCGGAGGTGTAATCTATTAGGTGCAAGCTATAGGGAGTAACTTATGTTGTGTAATTCATGCGGTGTAAGCTATATGGTGAAAGCTATGCAGTGCAAGCTCAGAGTACGGGACGCCCACGCGGCGCCCACGAGGCGGCATGGGCGACAACGTGGCGCAACCTCGGCACACCCCCCAGCTAACGGGGCACCCACGAGGCGCCCACAGGGCTGCACTGGCGACAGCGCAGTGCAACCTATGCATACCCCCCCACCCCCCCAGCGAACGGGGCGACACGGGCGGCGACGTGGCGCAACCTCGGCATACCCCCCCTGCGCCCCCAGCGCTCGGGGCACCCACGAGGCGGCACGGGCATCAACATGGCGCAACCTCGGCATACCCCCCGAGCACGGGGCGCCCTCGACGCGCCCACGAGGCGTCACAGATCACAGAGTGGCGAAAACCCGGCACACCACCAATTGCCGTAGGAAGATAAGTAGCTTCTTGAAGTGGAAGCATAGTTTTGGGCAATCTCGTAAGACCACTTACGCTTAAAGGAAGGGTGGGATTTAGTCGAGGGCCCCAGCCAGGATGAATCATGGCATCGCGGGTTCACCGCGGCGTCGGGAGTTGGGGTTTTGATTCCCAGCCATCTTGTGGTGTCGGATCCTCTGAGAGCGTCCCGCGTCCTCTCCTCTCCTCTACAAATACACAGTCTGAATACTACTCGCCTCTTTCCCCCGATGGCGAAGATATCCAGCCCCCCTCCGCGTATTGTTTTTTACACAGGATTCCCGGGAGTTGGGTTTTCGCTTGGGGTTTTGTTCAACATGCTGTTCCCGCTGAAGCGCTGGCCTCATTGTCGGGCTTCCTCTCGTTCCGAATCGTGTTCCCGCTGCAGCGCTGGCCTCGTTTCCGCGCTTCCGCTCGTTCCGAATCGTGTTCCCGCTGCAACGCTGGCCTCATTTCCGCGCTTCCGCTCGTTCCGAATCATGCTCCCGCTGCAGCGCTGGCGTCATCATTTCCAGTGCCATGCCAGGGCATGATGTTCGGTCTTTCCAGATCGGCCCCAAAGTCTAGAAAATGCCCCCCCCCCCAAAAAAAACATTGGAAGTGATTCCACATTCGGTGTCGATTCGTTGATTGTGTAAGCAGCAGAAGAAGCACCCACTTTGGGGCGTCGCCACGCCATGCTATGTCATGCTACGCGTTGATATCCAACACCATGATATGCCATGCAATGATATGGCATGCTACGGCATCCGACTGTGCGAATAGAGAGGAGATCTACGACATGGTAAGGGATGAGAGGGAGGGATAGGACGTCAGATATGACGCGAGCGCAGCTAGCTTGCCTCCCCCTCCTCCGCCCTTCCCCCCCCCGCCTCCCATCTCAGTGGCGCCGTCCGCATTGGTCCGCGCCGCCCCTTTCGGCGCACCTCTCGCACGTTTCTTGGCCCCACAGGGAGCTCCACCTGAGGCCCCAGTGGATGCGGCCGCATGCGTCCCCGCCACCCATGGCCCCATGGAAAGCTCCACCTGAGGCCCCAGTGGCTGCGGCCACATGCGTCCCCGCCACCCATGTCGGCACACCCCTCACACGTTTCGTGGCCCCATAAGGGGCCCTACCGAAGGCCACAGTGGTTACGGCCGCATGCGCCCCCGCCACACATTTCGGCACACCTCTCACACGCTTCGTGACCGCATAGGACACCCCACTTGAGGCCCCAGTGGCTGCGGCCGCATGCTTCCCCTCCACCCAGTGCGGCGCACCCCTCACACGTTCCGTGGCCCCGTAGGGGGCTCCACCTTTGGCCCCAGTGGATTCGGTCGCATGCGCCCCCGCCGCCCATGTCGGCACACCATTCACACGCTTCGTGGTCCCATAAGGGAGTTCCATCTGAGGCCCCAGCGGTTGCGGCCGCACGAGTCCCCGCCACCTATTTCAGCACACTTGTTCACACGTTGTGAGCCCCCGTAGGGAGTTACACTTGAGGCCCCAGTGGTTGCGGCCGCATGCGCCCCCGCCACTCACGTCAGCGCACCCCTCACACGTTTCGTCGATAGGGAGCTCCGCGTGAGGCCTCGATGGCTGCAGCCGCACGCGTCTCCGCCACCCATGTCGGCACACCCCTCACACACGTCCCGTTGCTTCGTAAGGAGCTCCACCTCAGCCCCAGCGGCAGGGCCCGCATGCCGCGCTTCGTGGCCTCATATTGAGCTCCACCTGAGGGCCCAGCGGCAGCGCCAGCATGGCGGTCCCGCCTCATGTCGGCACACTCCGCACACGTTCCGTGGCCCCATGAGGGGGCTCTGTTTGAAGCCCCATCGGCAGCGCCCGCATGGCGGCCCAGCCACATTTCGGCCCGCCCTTCACGCGCTTCGTGGCTCCATAGGGAGATCCACCGAAGGCGACACTCCCAACGACTGCATTCACAACTGCATATGGTTGAGTCCTTCGCCAGGCTAATATTGATCAGCGTGCGGCCCGACGCACGCAACCTCCTCATGCACACGGTTGGGGCACGGTTGCACCAGTTGACCCAGCCGAAAGGTCAGTTGGATTTTGGGGGGTTCCCAGAGAGGGCCAAATGAGTTTATCAGGTGGCGGATCTCGGAGGTTGATTGGGAGTTTTTGAGGCCGTCTTGGGGCGTCTTGGAGACATTTGGAAGCCTCTAGGCGCCGCCTTGGGGCATGTTGGCGGTCTCGGGTGTCATCTTGGGGAGGAGGGCTCCTGGGGCCGCTTCGAAACCGTCTACTCTGGACCCCTCTTGGAGCACTCTTGAGTGAGCCTCTTGGGCGAAAGCGCTCTACAAAACCTAAAGTTCGGGAACGACGTTGGTTTCTTGGGTAGGCCCTAAGGACGGGCCCCTGAGTGCATCTTGAAGCTCATTGGAAGTCTGGAGCCCGAGCGAGGGGTCCGAGGCCTCGGGAAACAGTCACGCGGGGAGCCCCAGTGCCCAGGAGCGCCCAGAAGTCCCGTAAGTTGCGGGTGTGGGGGGTGATCAGGGACTTGAAGACGCCCTACTTGTGCCAACGGCACGGTGGCAGATATTACAGACACGCGTAGCCCTAAGATACAGTGGCCGTCAAGAACAAGGATGAGGTGGCTGTCCAGGGTTACCTGTTCATAAGTGCCTGTTCGGCCCATCCTCAGCCAATCTCGATCGCCAGCCCCTCGGGGCAACCTTGCAGCGGGTTGACGCCCGAGTGGATTGTGTTGGCCGAGTTGGTCATGCGATGTATCTTTGGCTTTAGTGTCAAGCAAATTGGGAGACATGGCATCTCAGTGCGATGAGCGGCGTGCAAATACGTCGCATACTAGGTGCCGGGGCGATGCCTATGATTTCACACGTGTCCACCAGTCTTGTGGATTCCAACAAGGAGAGTGACAGGCATATGTTGCGCACAGTGTTTGCACACCCCATGTATAACATGCAGCCGAAAATTCGTGTCGCGTTGATTGTGTTGCGTGTCGTGCCGCTGCGTCGTTGAGGTGGCTCTCGGAAGCAACCAACATTACCGGAAAGCGATGTGTCTTCATACGGTAGATCGCGTTGTATGATACCACATGCGATGTTCGTCTGCACATGTTGTTGCAACGTCCAAAAGAAAGTTGATCTCGGGCTGGCGAAGTATGTTGAGAGGTTAAGTTAGGAATGAGATGTTTTGGATCAAGTGGCATCGAACGCCTGGCTTCTTCAACGTCGCCCACCTTGGCACAATATTTGGTCGTAAAAGAGAGCAGAGGATGGCTTCGCACTTGGCCGAACACGGCGACAGCGATGGCGAAGACACATCTATGACGATCGGAGACCGTCGTCGCTACCGCCGGCGTGCCCGACGCAGGCAAGCGAATGAGCAAAAGCAGCGAGAGGTCGCTGGAGACCTGCTGGAGCCTTGGCCGGCACTGGACGTCAGCCGAAGGCCAGCAAGAGGTCTGACGGGCTACGAGTGGTGGCGTTCGATCGGTAGTCCAAGATTCGTGTGCGCTCCGATGGTCGGCGGTTCAAGCCTGGCTTTTCGCATGCTGGTTCGGAGATATGGCTGCGACCTTGCGTTCTCACCCATGATCGACGCCGCGGGTTGGCGTTGCGGCACAACTGTTTCAAGACGAGATCGTTTTTTGTGGTCTAAGCCGCTTGTCGGCGACGTGCCTCTCGTGGCACAATTGGCCGGCGACGATCCTAAGACCGTTGCTGCGGCGGGTCGAGATGTAGCTCACGCTTGCGACGCCATCGATTTGAATTGCGGCTGTCCGCAGCCATGCGCAGAGCTCGGTCGTTACGGTGCATTTTTGTTGTCCATGCCAGATTGTATTGAGGCCATCGTGCGGGAATGTGTCCATTCTGTGCCAGAGGTACCGATCACGGTGAAGCTGCGGAAGCCTTCCAATCGTGCGGAGGATATGTTGGCGTTGGCAGCGCGGCTCGAGGCAGCTGGTGCATCGGCATTGACTGTCCACGGAAGAACGAAGGAGCAGATCGGTCAGTTCAAGGGTGTTGCCGATTGGGACGTCGTGGCGGCAGTGAAACAAAGGGCGAGCATCCCGATCATCCTGAATGGAGGTATTGGTTCACGTGAGGATGCGTTGCGCGCGTTGCAGGTCACTCGTTGTGATGCCGTTATGTCTGCGGAGGCGTTGTTAGAGAGACCTACGTTGTTTGCAGAAGAACCGCCTCTTAATCACTATCAGATTGTGGAGGAGTTCCTAGACTTGGCTCGCACATACCACACGCCACCCAAGGCTCTGAGCGTGAATATGTTTGCTTTGTTGCACGGTGCGTTTCAGCGACATCCTGAGGTGTACGCCCGAGCACCAGACAGAGGTGGTGTGGAAGCTTGGGCCGGATGCGTGCGAGAGTTGCATCAATGCAGTATTGTGAAAACTTATTCGCCGTCAACGACATGTCCTGGACCATGGTATTTGCGGCACCGTTGATAAGTTGCAGCTCTTGGGAAATCGGCTGCTGGACACGATTCGAAGGCACAATGATCTGAGGACAGTACCACCAATGGATGCGTTGCATTGATTGTCCTCGGATCGGGATCTTGGCCTGGTGATTATGGTAGCGCCTGTATGGAACAGAGATGTTCAAGGACAGTCGAGGTTGGGCACTGGTGGAGTTCGCCTCTGCCATTCAATGCCTATCATAATGATTCGCCCGTGAGCTCACAAAAACAATCGGGCTGAAGGCACGTCTCTTATCAGGAATGTCTTGTGCAGAACTAAAGCATGCCTGCGTTCATTCAAGCATCTCGGTGTAAACTATTGTGGGATCGATGGTGATCCGCTGCATTTAAAACAAGTTCCAGGAGCATCAGTAGAAGCAGCACCAGCTTGAGAAGGAAGGGTGGAAAGCAGAGGGAGTCAGAATGTCTTCTCTCATGGTGGAGCAAGTAAAGAAGCGACTACACGTGTTACAGTCCCCACAGCCGACAGGTTGCATTACTTGAGCGCCGTGGTGCCAGCAGGCGGGCGGGCGGAGGGACTTACACTGAATTTGGCGGGCGGAGGAACTTACACTCATGTCGGTTGGCACAGGGCTCCAGCCGGCCGCACGACAGGGAGTGCTATGCAGCGCTTACAAACAAAAAGTCCTGGCGGCGGGCCCAAACCATATGCAGGTGTGAGTACCTCAAGGCAGGTGGGACGAAGTAAGGGGAAGTCCCGATTGGGAAACGAAACGCGTGACAGGTGTGCCGAAATGAGGCGGCGACGGCATGTGGACCTTCGCACTGTCGCCGCTGGTGGAGCTCCCCACGGCCTTTGTGGCCACGAAGAAGTGTACGAGGTGTGCCGAAATTAAGCTCCGACGCCATGCGGCCCCTGGCAGTTGGGCCTTCGTTGGAGCTCCTTCTGGGGCCACGAAAAGCGTGAGGCGTGTGTGTGTGTGCGTGCTGAAATGAGGCACCAGCGCGATGTAGACCCTGGCATGTGGGTATTTGAGGCTCCCCTGAGGAGCTCGAATTAGTGCGACTCTCTCAAGAAGCTTCAGAGGCCCATCGGAAGCGAACGCGCGAGGAAGAAAATCAGCATAGACAAATTATAGTGTTGTCATGGTTTGGCACACAGGGCCATCCTTGGGGTGTTGCTGGGGCTCATGACAGCCATGCTGGAGAGGCCACTGCGAGCCATACTGCGCGATACTGGAGGCAGCAGTTGTCGATGTGTAGCCCTTAGTGGACAGATTGGACGCTCCAGCCACTGGCGAATCAGAAGATTGTTGGGTGCTTGCGTGCTGTCCTGATGAGACCGTCGCGCTCCTCTTGTATGTGAGAAGCAGCGCTTGCATCAGAGCCTCACACGTCTTAAGGCATGCTGTATGGTTCATTGGTGTGAAATTAATGCGAGACCGTCCCAACGCGCACAGACAGCCGTACGCGCGCGAGCAATCGCACGCGCGCCCAAGGTCGGCATATGATGGTTCATTCATCGACGAACACGAGGCGAACAAATACACATGCACTAGCCAGATATATCACGCATCAGGCGGACGCACAGAAGCGCCCTTAACGATGGCTTGCGATCTTCCCTTCTGATATGTTCTAAAAAGTTGCAGGTGGGAGGGCGGGAATGTGCTCGAGCATTGAAGTCATCCCCGCGCGCTGACCCAGTGGCCCAGGGTTGATCCCGTACTCCCCAAATTGAAAGACCATGATCCTTTACTGCTACCTGAATATAGGGCCCATGTCGCGAATGGGTTACCATATCCTAGGACACAAGGCCGTTCGTCATAAGCAGAAGTTCTCACCGCGCCAGCCAGGATTGCGTCGACCCCCCCCCACCCTCACCCCAACAGCCTTCCTTGTTAGGTCATATCGTCTGGCGCAGGCGGGTTGACATTGTCAAGTGCGTTTCGCCTTCACTCACCTCACAGAGTGCAACCACTCGTCTCCCCGCCCCCGCCCCCGCCCCCTCCTTGTCCCTCTCTCATCCCTCCTCATTACCTCGCTGGTTGCGCGCGCCCCGCGCGTCCATGGGGCTCGTCCGGCTGGCTGTCGGGGCGGCCAGACTCGACGCGTTCCTTTCTCCCGTTTTTTCTGGCCTGCTCCTCATCCTCCTCCAGTTTCTCATCTTTGTGAGCATCCTCGTGCTCCTCCCTCTCGGTGTCAGCCACCTCCCCTCGATGTCATCCACCCCGACCTTGGATGTAATCCTCGTCATTGTTCGTCATCACTAGCAGCAGCGCCATCGTCCCCATTGTGTTTACCACCACGGCCATTGGCATCGCCGTCACCATGACGGGTACGACATGAGCGCGATGCATATTCAGCAGCAGCAGCATCGTTTTCATCATCAGAATCGCCATCATAATCCCAACCATCATGACACTCATCATCATCACCAGCATCATCAACAACAGCAGCAACATCATAACCATCATAAGTAGCATCATCATCCTACTTTACATCAGCATTATACGCACCGCTCCCAACCTCAGTCTCTACTCCTCTTCGTCATGCTCGGCACCGTCATCATCATCACCATCATCATCGTCATCATCATCATCATCAGCAGCAGCATCATCATCAGCAGCATCATCATCGAAAGAGCGTGTTCTGCCGCTGCTCGCAGAAAACCCGGGGGGGTCACTGAGGGGTTCAACCCCCCGTCCTCCCCCCGGCCTCGAAAACCAGGGGGAGTCACTGCCGGTTCGAACCCCCCCCCCCGGTCCATCATGAAAGGGAGGGGGGGTCACTACCAGTTCGACCCCCCCCCCCTCGGGACAGTGGGACGGTGGTGGGGATGGTGGTGGGGAGCGGGGGCAGTGGGGAGAGTGGTGGGGACAGTAGGGACAGTGGGACAATGGTAGGGACAGTGGGACAGAGGGACAGCGCAGTGCGACTGGTGGGGACAGAGGGACAGTGGTGGGGACAGGGGGGACAGCGGGGGGAGTGGGACCGCGGTGGAGACAGTGGTTGGGACAGTGGGGACAGTGAGACACTGGTGGGGGCACTGGCGGGGACAGTCGGGACAATGGTGGAAACAGTGGGACAGTGGTGGGAGCAGTGGGGACAGTGGGACAGTAGTGGGGACGGCGGTGATGGGGCCAATGGTTTGGGGACAGTGGGACAGTGGTTGGGACAGTGGTGACAGTGGGACAGTGGGACAGTGGTGGGGAGGGTGATAGCACTGTGACAGTGGTGGGGACGGTGGTGGGGGGGACACTGGTGACGGTGGTGGGACGGTGGTGGGACGGTGGTAGAGTGGGGACAGTGTTGGGGACAGTGGGACAGTGGTGGGAACAGTGGGACAGCTCAGTGGGACAGTGGTGACGGAACAGTGAGGACAGTGGGACAGTGGCGGGGACAGTGCAGTGAGGACAGTGGGACAGTGGTGGAGACAGTGGAGACAGCGGGGAGAGTGGGACCGTGGTGGGGACATTGGTGGGGACAGTGGGGACAGTGCGACAGTGGTGGGGGCATTCGTGGGAACAGTGGGGACAGTGGTGGGGACAGCGGGGACAGTGGGGACAGTGGGACAACAGTGGGGACGGTGGTGGTGGGGACATTGGTGGGGACGGTGGGAACAGTGGGGATAGTGGGACAGTGGCGGAGACAGTGGGACAGTGGTGGGGACGCTGGTGGTGGGGACAGTGGTGTGGGGACAGTGGGACAGTGGAGGGGACAGTGGGGACAGTGGGACAGTGGTGGGGACGGTGGTGGTGGGACAGTGGTGTGGGGACAGTGGGGATAGTGACGGGGACAGTGGGGACACTGTGACTGTGGTGGGAACGGTGGTGGTGGTGACAGTGGTGACAGTATTGGGACAATGGGACAGTGGTACAGTGGGGACAGTGGGTACAGTGGGACAGTGGTGGAAACTGTGGGACAGCTCAGTGGGACAGTGGTGGGGACAGTGGGACAGTGCTGGGGACGGTGGGACAGTGGTGGGGGCAGTGGGGACAGTGGGGCGAGTGGGACCGTGGTGGGGACAGTGGTGGGGACAGTGGGGACAGTGCGACAGTGGTGGGGGCACTGGTGGGGATAGTGGGGACAGTGGTGGGAACAGTTGGGACAGTGGTGGGGGCAGTGGTGAGAACGGCGGTGGGGACCCGGGGGGGACCCGGGAGTCGTTTGCCGGCGGCGCATGGGGGGGGGGGTCGACCCAGTAGTGACCCCACCCCGTTTTCTGGAGGTTCGAACTGATAGTGACCCGCCCCCGGTTTTCCGGAGGGGGGTTAGGGGGGAGGGGGGGGTTTTGCTGGGGGAAGGGGGAGGGGGGGTTCGAGCATGGGGGGACGGACTTTCGGAAGGGGGGGGAACCCCGGGTTCCGGAGGAAGAGGGGGGGTGAATTTTCCACAGCACAGCGGCGGTGGATCACGTTCTCTCTCATCATCAGCAGCAGCAGCAGCATCGCCATCATCATCATCATCATCAGCAGCATCAGCATCAGCATCAGCATCATCTTCGTCGTTATCATCATCAGCATCATCACCATCATCATCAGCATCAGCAGTAGCATCATCAGCATCATCATCCACCCCCCCCATCCTTACAATCCTCCCTCATGCGCCGCCTCCTTCTTCCCCCCACCCACCCACATACCCTGATCCTTAATCCTCCTCATCATGCTTTTCATGCTATTGCTGATGCGCGTCTCTTTTTATTTCCCTCCTCCTCGCCACTCCTCCGACTCCTCCTACTCATCCTCCTTGGGCGTAATGGAAGTGGGCTTTACGCGGATGCGGAAATCGAGGAATTCAGTATGGTGCCACCACACGTGTTTATACAATTCGCGTCCAAAGTGACGGCCGATGCATCGGATATCGATCTGGTCTTCAGTTCGAAGAGAAGGGCCATCCATCGCCAATGGCCCGACCATGAAGTCGAATGCAGTATCATCGACTTTTCTACTGCAGCCGAACCCCATGCTTGCTCCTATTTCCACAGTCCAGATCAAATCCGGGACGGCATCCACTTGAATAGTTTGATTGGCCAGAGTCGCATTAAGCATGATTTTGAAGGAGAATAAAGTGTTGCCCTCTGGCACGCTCCGGCTGGGGTGTTTGCGGAAGTCACTGTACTGGCCGTTCTTGAAGACGTTTTTGATGTTTTCTGTGTGTATGAGTCGGTAGAAGTCAAGCGCTTCTGATCTGTTTGGGAAGATTTTTGGTGTCCCTTCATATGTGAGGTTGTGCATCGCCTACTTGGTTCTACGTGGCAGATACCCATTTGATGCCCCGTTCATGGGGCTGCCCTGGGATGTGTGCAATGGTTTGAGCTCTACTCGGCAAATGCCGCTTTGAGATGTGCTGGTCGCTTTCATCTTGGATGCGATGCCCGTTGCGTCATATCTAGTTCACCAAAGTGAGGCGAAGATGAAGCGCTTGTCTTGTGAGTTGCGTGCTGCCTCTTGCACTGCCGACAGGCAGTCCTCCAAATATTCATCCATGATGTAGTGTCCCACCTGTCTGTATTTGTCAGTTCGGATCTACCGTGTTTTGTCTATTCATCAAGAAGTGCTTGCATCTAAGTGTTCTTACTTCTCTCAAGGAGCTGGGCCTGTGCGCCGGTCTGGCCGGCTTGTGGACGCCAGTCGCCGCCTGTCGCCGCCGCCCGCCGCCGCACCAATTGGGCTTGTGCGCC